ATTAGAGTGTGCGCAAAAAATACAAACACATGGCACCACCAGGAGTCGATAAACAGTTCCCATCTTCAAAGCCGGCGGTCGCCGGAAAACCCATCCCTGCTCCTCCGACTCGTCAGCCTTACTCTGTCAACCGTAACCAACAACAACGGCGATGGCAACGGCCAAGCTGTCGTCGGATCTGTTGTTGTTGTTGCTTCTGGTCAATCTTAATCCTCCTCATAACCATCCTAATCGCTTCTCTCGTCGCAATCGGACTTTACGTTCTCTACCACCCTCGTCCACCGTCATTCTCCGTCCCATCTCTCCGTATCCACCGCTTCAATCTCACCACCGCCGCTGATTCCTCCGCCTCACACCTCTCTTCTCTGTTCAATCTAACTCTCATAACCAAAAACCCTAATTCACATTTCACTTACAATTACGAACCGTTCTCAGTCTCTGTTGTGACCGATCCAGATGAGATATTCCTCGGAAACGGCACCGTTCCGGCTTTCTCGAGTGGGGAGAAGAATCTGACTTCGTTCAGAGCAATCGTTGTCACATCGACGGAGGCGCGCGAGCTCGACGTCGGGGAAATCTCGGGTCTTAAATCGGATCTGAAGCGGAAAAACGGATTGGATCTGAAGATTGTGATGGACACGAAAGTGGAGATTAGAATGGGGAAACTGAAAAGCAAGAGAGTTGGGATTAGGGTTTCTTGCTCTGAGATCAAAGGGACTGTTCCTAAAGGTAAAGCAGCACCTGCAATGGCTTCTACAGATAAATCTAAGTGTAAGGTTGATCTTAGGATCAAGATCTGGAATTGGACTTTTTAAATCATACATTTTTTTTTTTTTACATATACAAAATTTTACGGGGGATTTTTTCGTTTGCTGTGTGTGTGTAGTTTGTAACACTTGAGAGTTGAGAAAGCTGGGAACAAAAGTGTGTTGTATTGTATGGATCATAGTTGGAAATTTGTGATAACATTAATATTCATTTTTCTATGAATAGTTTTTAAGTATGTTACAAAATGAAACGTCACTATTGGTTCCACCATGAATATGTCAAATCCAAGTTGAGTGTTATGGTTTTTCCAAGTTGAGTGTTATGGTTTTGTGTTTGCTGCATTCTAAAGCTTTGATAGTATATGGCTTCAATATAGATGGTAACCACAATAAAGAGTGAAGTGGAAAGTAAATGAATTGAATATGAGAGAAAAAGGGATGAAGAGGAACTCTTACTTTTATAGTATTATTATTAAATGAAAAGTGAAAAAATTTAGTTGTTTTAAGGGAAAATTAGCCAATTAATTATAAGGGTTTATTTGGTTAATGAGACTTAAAATAAAGAATATAGTTATGATTGGGGACAAATTAATCAAATAACAAAGAGAAAAAGAAGTTAGACCAATTTTATCTTCAAGTTGACATAGACAAAGGGTTAAAGACATGTTTTTCTTTTTGTTAACGGCCGTGAAAACATGTAATTGCATCA